GCCATAGCTCCTAAAATGATTCCTCCACATTTTAAGCAAGTATTAGCTGTTGTTTAGCAGTAACTTGAGAAATTGTCATGCTTTACTGGTTTCCAAAACCATGTTTTAGACAATTTAGACTATTTGCATTATGTATTGCATTATGTATAGAGTGTTGTTACAGCAGTCGGACATGACAGAATTAATGACTTGCGGTTCAGTAAGTGAGTCAGATTAAATCAGTAATCGCTCTAACAGATTTTTTTGATTGAATGAAAAGAGTCGTTTGTTTGGGAATAAGACTGATTGCATGATGTTTCTTGTTGTCACGGGTTCTGAATAATAAATAGATTTTTCATATGCCTATACGATTTAATTGAGAAGAGAAGATGTATGAAAATGTGTGGGGTCTGGTCTTTCTAAGCAGAGAGAGAGAGAGAGAGAGAGAGAGAGAGCACCCCCACAGAGTCAATGTTCTCTCAAGGGTCAGGCTGTTTTGTTATAAGAATAACAATGTCACTGCCTCCATGTACATGTACAGTACAAAAACAAGAACCAAGTATAGCAACACATGATTGCATCATGACTATGTGCTCATACTTTATATACAGTTAAATGTCCAGACACTCAAAAAACACACTAGATATAATATATTGTGGCCAAAAAGAAAATAATTCAATTCATCAGGATTATAGCACTCAGTTAAGTTGCAAATTAATTTGGAAGTATGAATAAAATCTCATCAGTATTGGTAACATTTTACATTAAGGTCCCATGTGTTTATGTTAAAGCATTAAATAATGTTAACTAATGGTATCTTATTGTAAAGTGTAACTTACAAATATACACAGTAATGCATTTTTGATAAACCAGTTCAATAAATACTTCACAAATAAAAGGTTCTCTATTTTTTACATTATTTATTTTTAATATATAAATATATATATATATATATATATTTTTTATTATTATTTATTTATTTTTTAAGCAAATACAATTTAAAATTGAATAAGTCTGGAAATTCATGATGATCAGTACCAAATCAGCTTCACATTATGTAACACTTGAGACAACAACAAAACACAGTCTAAACAGTAATTCTGTACATTATCAAGATGAATGAGCTAAGATGCCAACATGAGATTGCTTGGCAACTGTGTTATAATTCTAATTAATTTAAGTGTTGTTATTATCTTAAAATAAATCTATATTAAAAACTAATTTGCATTCATTGCAAAACTGATGGAATAAACTAAAATTAAAAATATTAGATGAAAATTTAAAAAAAAACAGAAAAAAGTGACTGAAATAAAATAAGTTGAAGTACTAAAATTATTAAACTAAAACTTTATCAAAAATAAAATAAAGCTAAATAATAATTAAAGCTAGGGCTGGGTGTTACGGCCAAAAAAAAAAAAACGATCACAATTTTTTTTTTTTGGGATATCAATAATTATCACGATAAATGTCAAATATTTATTTCTTTATAAATACTGTTCGATTTCTCACACAAACTGCTCGTTTCGTGTCTTAGGCCATCAATGTGTACTGTACTTACATTCACGAGTCATTAAATCATGTTTAATTTGGACTGTGCATGCTCTTTGAGGTGGGCCCAGTAAATCTCCATTATATGACAGACAGACAAAAACGGTTTGTCTAAAAAATACAAAAAACTGAAACTACTGTAGAAACAAAGACACCTACATCTTGGATGCCCTTGAGGTAAGCTAAAACACATCAAAAATTAATTTCAAAGTGAACTATCCCTCTAAGGCCACTTAATATAAAGTGGGACTCTAAATCTCTCAAAAGTCCCCTTGAAAACCCCTTGAAATTTTGGGGACAAACTATAAAGGTCTTTATATTATAAAGGTCTTTTCTGATTTTTCTGATAGACCTACAACCAATCAGAGCAACATAGTTGTCATGCAACCCTGGCAATTTGATTGGCCCAACGATTTCTGAACCGATCATAATTACTCCTCAATGGATAATGTCCAGACAACCAAAAATGTTGTATCCAGGGTATAAAATGTATGCAATATTATAAATAGACATTTTTAACCTATAGTTAGCGTAGAGGTTCACAGGCAATGCCATGCAGGATCTACACAGCAGTGCTTGTCTGCCATTAGCACAGTTTACTGTAGCTCTACTACTGTCGGAATCTCCCATTTTTCATTGAAGGGCAAAAGGGATGCGCTGCACAAATTTGCAGGGGAGACACGTGTCTGTATTTTTTTCTGTTGGATGGGCCAGGTGTTGCATTCAGATTCTCCTTGAAAGTTGTCCTTTGTCATGCCCTATGCTTTTCATTTTTTTTTTAACTAATTCATTTTTGATGAAAGGATGACCGGTGCCAAAGTGTCAGAGACTTGCGTCTGGGGTTGATGTCATAAGTGGTGGAGGGCGGTGCCTGGCTCCTCCCTTCAAATGTGTTTCTCGTCTCACTGTAATATAGGGTGAATGCAAACTGAATTAGTCATCCCAGAGGAACAGTTCATTACCCTTGTGGGTCACCTCATAGAAAATCAAGACGGAGAATCCATAACGGCATGCGGAATAACCCCCCGTCCTCTATCCGGCTTGTGTGTGTGCATGTCCCTTAGCACCGTCCTCCGGAGAAGGGTTCGCCTGAACGCACAAGCCGCCAGAGTAAATGTGAACTACTCAGGAGGACAGATCAGCTTTTGGAAAGAAAGAGAGAGAATGGGGGGGGGGGGTGCTGATTGTACTTTACACGGATAACAGACATTCCATCTTCTCCATTTCCCTTGGGAAACAGTGAACGGGAGAGAGAGAGAGTTGGATGAAAAGAGAGAGAGAGAGAATAGGGCTCAGTAAGGGCTGCAAATGCTGGTGATTCACTTGAGCAGAGTTGTGTGAGGAGGCGGTGCGGTTTGGGGTTTGAGGTTTGGGAGGGAGGAGGTGGGAAAGATGCTAGACTGGAAAAGCACATTGTCAGATATGATCAGCTCGGCTGGGCCCGGGGCCAGAGACATCTCAAGAACCTGCGACAGAGCTCTCAGTGCACAGACTCGTCCTCATCACCCTTCTGATCATCTGAAGAAAAATAAAACCTCGTCCAATTTATTTATGACTAAAATAACCTGTCGGTTTTGTTTGAGCCTTTCAGGACTTGTCCGTGTGATGAATGGGAATTTATTAGGAGGGCTGTGTGATGTGGGATAGTTTGATGCTTGTCTGTTAGCCAGACGCGGTAGGAGCCTTAGCGAGCATCTATGAACTTCAGACAGGTCTTCAAGAGGGAAGAGCCATATGTCTTAATTTCAAGGCTTTCTCAAGGTTGTCATTGGTCATTAGGACGTGTGGCCTCTCTCATTTCTCAACTCCTGCTATTCAAACAAGAAAGAGACATTTGTTTTGACGCGCCATCTGCGTGACTCGCTTTCCGTCTAGCCTTGTCAATAATCATGACGGGCTGACATTTATTTCATTTAAATGTGTTGTCTTTGAGCACCCCGCATCAAAGACAACCAGGGCACTGTGTATGCCTAAAACAAATGGCTTTGAAATTGGACCAAACAAATGTCAAAGAACAACAGAATGATCCCATCATTGCTGGTTCACATCTGTGTGAATGCACATCTGGAGGAAAACAGCTGTTTTGCTACAGACAGGACATACTTCAATAGAGCAATGTGATGCTGTTTTTCAATGGTGTATGAAAAGCCTTCTGCTTGTGTGCGCGACTAGACGGCAAAATAAATCAAACTATTATGGACAATTGCCTTGAAAGCTTTAGTAAAAGGACAGTTGCTAAAGATTATATTGAGTCCAGAAAGAATACAGGCCTAATTGATCTGTTTGTATGGAAATGTGATTGATGCAGCACTTTTCTGTCCAATGATCTTTTTTTTAAGAGTCTAAAGTCTTGAATAAAAGGACAATGCAGGACACGTAATGATTGTAAAGACGGATAACAAAAAATAAGTTTTCAGGTGTTCTAAAAACATACACTGAACATACAACCCTGTTAAGAAAACTTCATAGACAGAACCATATGAAATTGCTTTCGTAACTATTAAAGAGCACCTATCATGGATTTTTGAAAATGACTGTTCATGTAGTCTGAAATATGGCTCTAAGGGATTGAATACATCCTGCAAAGATTTATATCTGAAAGTGCACCGTAAAGTTATTGTCTTTTAAAAGTGAGAGTCGACTCTGAGTCTATGAAATGAATTGTTTTTGAAACGAGTCATTAGCTGTTACGTCGTGACGTAGATACAAAACATTAGCTCATTGGCCGCTCCCAACAACTGCGCGCGCAGACGCGAGTGTAAACTTGAAGTCTAGTCTGGAACACATTCAAAAACTTCAGCTGAATAGCGTCACGTCGAGAAGATGCTGTGTTCTACATCGCAAAGACAGTTCAGCCACTTGTTTTCATTGCCCAGGGACGAGCATGTGAAGAATCAGTGGTTAGAGTTAAACTGTTTTTGGGAACTCCCAAAACAAAAAAAGGAACATTTCAAATGCTATGATAGGGGCTCTTTAAAAAGAAAGAATCACATTGACCCATATACTGTATATTTAAGAAATTAATGCTTTCATTTAAATTGACACATTAAATTGATCAAAAGTGACAATAAAGACTAAAGAGATTTTAGGTGAGTCAGTGACATTTTAGAATAAGGTTTCTTTAGTTAAACTTAAAGGAACACTCCACAGTTTTTTCAAATCGGGGTTATTCACTGTCTCCCCTATATTTAGATGGGTGGGCAAATGCATTTTTGTTTTAGTCTTAGCATAATGAATGGAAAATTTGTTGATGAAACATTGATTAATATGAAGATACAATTTATACAAAACGAAATAAACTTAAAAAAAAAGGCTTTCTACAAAACAAAACTTAATAAGTGGTAAAATCATGTCTGACCCATTCCAAATGTTTTCCGATATCTTTTCATCTTAAGATCCTATCTTACTCATCTCATGCGGTTCCCTTTTCATATAATAAACAGATGAAATTTAAAAAAAAAAATCAGGTGTACCTCGATCTGCAGCAGTGCTTCTTCTCTTTGCCTCAGGATCTCCACGTCTTCCTCACTGATCTCTGACAGGAATGCTTGGGAATCACCCTCAACGCCCTCCTCCGCTCCGAACAACGGCCCATCTTCAACCAGTTCACTGAATGGAGTCTGTAGGCTCTATCCATTCCACACACAAAATAAGAGATAATGTAAATGATCTTTTTTTTTTTTTTACAGTGTATTGTCTGGTAAACAGCTATATGTATTTTTTTTTAAATATTTTCTAGTATTCTAGTATTTCAATATTTTTCTAGAATAAATAAAGTGTTTATAGACTACTTGACACAAAACTTCGTATTTTTGGCGATGTCAGTTGGACTTTTTAGTTAACTCTGGTAAAATTGAGACACTTCATTAAAAATGTCTTGGAGTTATTCTAATATTAATTTTAGGGGCTGTTTACATGTCACTGTTTTCAGCTAGAACTTTTTATGCATTTTGGACATTCATTTACACAACAATGACATTTGGACATTTCAAATGCAAATTTTTGAAAACGATACCATTGCTGTCTCAATATTGTCATGTAAACTCCAAAAATGCTGACATTAGTATTAAGTGTTCAGTCTAAAGACGTATAGTGTTTCTTTACAAAGTGACATCGTCAACTACTGGCGACATATACAGCGCTTATAGTCATTTTGCTAATCCATTTGTAAAGAGATCGTTTGGACAACGTTGTCACCTGTACGCGAAAAGCAAAGGAAAAACTTTACCGTTTTTTGTTCTTGTGAAAACGTACTCTTAAAATGTACTATAGTAGTATTTAATCAAAGGATGAGTCTATATACGTGTGAAGCCCTGAATATTTACTGACCCTGGAAATGCCCGATTACATCATCAGAGGATCAGAGCATTGCGGATGTTCTCAGTAGTCAGACTTGACTTTGGTTAAACTTCTACAGCTTTCCTTGAGATCATTTGTAAAGATCTTATATAATAGCAAAGCACTGACATTTCACGGCTATGTATAATATAATACAATGATAATGACTCGCCACCATATTGCAGCAGAAGAATCGCAAAGGAACAGCCTGCCGCCTTTGTTAGTCATTTAGGTTGAACTCTCTGTCAGCCTGAAGGTTGAAGAGGTGGGAGTTGGTCACTAAGAGAGGGCCACATTGATCTGCTAATTTCTCGACTTGCATATGCATGACATCGATAAAGGCCCGAGGCGTGTTATTATTTTTTGCAATGTGTTGGATGACTCATTGTATTCTCCCCTCTCAGAATTAGCACATCCAATACATCTCGGTCCAGCACAATGCCACCCCGAGAACATCATCTGCTTTGCAAGGTTGTTGTCGACCCACTCACTAAGGATATCATTGTCTATTAGGTCATAGAGTGGCTTGTAGTTGGGAGGTTTTTCTCATCTGTTGACAAGATGTAAAGCATAATTTATCCTCTTAACTCTATCTGCACCTCAGATGTATATTTTTCCCTGAAATTAAGTCTAAAGTTTATTCAATTCTAAATGTAATACATTTTTTAATGAAGTTTGCCTTATTAAAAAAATAAGCCCCTTACCATTATTTCTTTTAAAAATGTAAATAGTCTTATTTGACATTTAGATTACATAAAGTACAATCAAATTTGCTTTGCATTTCCTAAAAATGTACAGTTCCCACATGATTTCCTATGATGGAGAGAGAGGAGTCTCCTATAAAGGCAATGGATCCAAATCACATTAAGTCAAAGGATCAGCATGACTCATTCAAGACGGGATATTCCCAGTTTAAGGCGTTTACTTGGAAATGTTTCACTAATCTAAATTCTCTGGAGGATATGTGCTATTATGTAAAGTACTTCTGATTTGAAGACTTAGTCATTTCACAGTGGCTTTAATTATTTAATTTTTTTTTATTTTGTTTAAAATTTGTTCAAATAGAAGTCAGCACTCTGTGTAAGTCCTTTAAATTCTTGAGACTGAAATGGTTAGATTAAGGCAAAAAACTAAATATGTACATCAGTGGAGACATTTTTCCGCCAATCAATGAAGATTAAAATAATCTTGACCCCTGTTTTAAAAAAGATGGGTCTCAGGTTATTTCCAATGATTATTTCCTTTGTCAAAAGACTAAAATGCTAAACAAGAGGGAAAGACACATACTTCTTTCTTGAATTCCTAGTATAGGATTTGCAGCTACAGTTGTAATCGAAATTATTCAACCCCCACTGCAAATCAGGTTTATTGGCAACATTTTTGCAATTAACAAATCAAACAAAAGTAATTGAAATAGCTCAACACAACAAATGTTTCAAATGGTTTCCCCAAATTTAACTGAAACATTCAATGACTTCTGCAGTCTTAATTGTTTAAACCCCTGAACACAATCCCTCACAACAGCACAAATCTGCAAAACAGGGGTTGTCTTAAGCAAGGGTTGCATTAGTTGCACCAGGTTTGCTTAAGCTACAACACATGAAATATCTGAACTGGCTAGGTTTGTTGAGTGTCATGTTTGACTTCATGCTGGAAAAACATGTCAAAAGAATGTCCAAAAATTTAAGAGAAGGTATCATGGCCCTTCACCAATAAGGAATAGGATACAAGAATAGAGATATCGTAGGAAGCATAGTTTGCAAAGTTCAAAGTTAGAGGAACAGTGCATGGTTAAACTATCTGGACGGGGCCGAAAAAAGAAGCTATCAATGGCTGCAACCAGATTTCTGAGAAGAACTTGACTCGACCAAGCCAGACACTATCCTCATAAAAATGGAAACACCTTAGACCCCAGAGGGTTAAGTATGATGGTGGCTCAGTGATGCTCTGGGGGTGCTTTGCATCCTCTGGTACTGGAAACTTACGGTGTGTTAAAGGCAAGAAGGATTCATTGAAGTATCAGGAAAACCTAAGAGAAAATATCATCCAGTCAGTGAGGAAGGACCTTCCAACAGGACAAGATTCCTTGAAGATTCTACAGTGGCCATAACAGTCACCTGACTTGAACCCCATAGAAAATATCCGTTGGGATTTGAAGAAGGCGGTTGCAGCCCGCAAACCCAAGAATATTATTGAACTGGAGGCCATTGCTCATGAGGAATAGGCTAAGATTCCTCAGAAATGCTGCCAGAAGCTGGTGTCTGGTTATAAATCTTGTTTTCAGCAGGTCTTAACAGCAAAAAGGGTGTTCTACTACAGCCCATTCTCACCCCCAAGGCGTCACTTAACTGACGCCTTGGGAAGCATTTGGACATGCTTCAATATCTGACGCTTTAGGCGCCCTTTAGCGTCAGTCAGATGACGCCCTAGGATCGCGTGTACCCTACCCCCACCCCACACCTAAACCTAACCGCGTCCTCTAACTGACGCTTACCTTTAGCGTCAGTTAGATGACGCCGTAGGATCGCGTCATGTAAGTGACGCTAAAGGGCGCCTAAAACGTCAAATATTGAAGCATGGTCAAAGGTGACGCCTTGGGGTGAGAATGCGTTGTCTACTAAGTACTAAAGATGCCATGAAGGGGTTGAAAAATTTTGAGAAATTTCAATTACTTTTATTTTATTTGTTCTTTTACAAACAGCTGAAAGTCTGTGCATTGTGTTAATAAACCTGATTTGCAATGGAGGTTGACTCATTTTGATTACAACTGTTTATAAGGAGCTTTGCATCAGCACATTCAGATCTAAATTATAGCATAAAATCTGGATGATGTTACAGACTTTCCCCTTATTTTTGCTGACCATAGTGATGGATGCAATGAAAGTGTGAAAATAGAAAAAGCAAGAGGTTGCAAGCAACCATAATGAATAAATTACCCACATAAATAACGTTGAACTTATTTTAACAGCAGATAAATGCAAAATAATTATTTCATACATTAAATTTTTCTGCTATGTCCTAGTAGTCAATCAAGCCTGGATCTTCCTTTAGGCAATTGTGAGATAAAGTTTAACAACACAATAAAAAAAGACACAACAGCAATATATGAAGTCACCATTTCAAACAAATCTTATCAAATAAATCAAATTAAGTGAAAAATATAATAACATTTAAGAAATAGTTCCAATTGCAAGATACAAAGTGACATTGTGAGAGAAAAAAATTACAAATGTCATATGAATCTGAGGAATAATTCCAATTGCAAGATATATCTACAAGGCAGAAACAGACTCCCATAACAAGCAGTGCAGTGCTATTCTTATTATTCAACACAATGGGATCCATTACAAATTACACTTGAGATTGAGGAAACATATACATTGTCATGAGTACTAATGACTCATGACGATTTATCTGTTGAAATGAAATGTTTAAATGATATATAAAAACACTGCTGTGATTTTTACAATCATAATAGTGAGTCATGTTCATGACTCACAGTACAGATTGGCAGTGCTGATAACAAACCCCGTTCTTGTTTGCACTCCGGTAGAACCTTGCCATCAAACAACTCCTTAATAACATCTGACTCTTGACTAACAACTCCGAATGTTGTTTGTTTTGAATGTGTTCTTGGCGTTCATATTGGAACTACACATCCTGTTTGATTGCTCTGGTCGGGTGTTTCCAGGGGGGATTGTGGAAGAAGACAGGAAGATCAGAGACATAGCTACAGGTGACAGAGTCTCACATAAAAGCAACATCTCCAGAGAACGACAGGAGGGGAGGGAATAGAATAGGAGCGAAATTGAGCAGACTTAAGTCTGTAACACAGTAGTGTGTATGTATGTGCTAAAGTCACATACCAGCTGAGCCAATCTGAGCTGCTGTTGTACTGCAAGTAATATTGAACACAATTCCTACCATTCAGTCAACACTTTTAATCATCAGTACATCCTTGGGCCACCTCAGATGAACTGAAAATTGAGGTTTGAAGGGATCTGGAAAAAGTTTCATCAAATGAAACTCTTCCAATGAGAGTGAACATCACTAGAACTGTCATCTCATTATCAAGGAATCTGGTTTCTTTTAGACATCTTGTTTATTTTTTAAGAACCAAATTTAAGATATCACCTGGGAAAAAGTAGGGTTAAAGGAATAGTTCACCTAAAAAAAGACAATTCTATCATCATTTAGTCTCCCCAGGTTGCCATTTCTTTCTTGTGTGGAACATGAAAAAAAAAAAATCAGATAATGTAAAGCCATTATTTTTCATTACATAAAAGTGAAAACTGTTGAGCTGTCACAGAATGATGTCAGAATTTTAATTTTTGGGTTAAGTATGACTTTAAATGTCTTGCTAAATGACAAAGGAAGTATGCATCTATATTCCTTCCAGGCCAGATCTTTCAACCTCTTGATCGACAGGGCTGCACGTTCTGTATAGCACAAACCACATTGTGGTTACATAAACTTAAAACGAGGGCTGAGGTTTGTATGTGTCAGGAAATTCTGACAGTTTATATCTGGCCTGCTAGAAAATGAAGTGGTGAGAAAAAGGGCATCAAAGAGCTCCTCATTCACATGCAATCACACATGCAGTCTCACTCTTTATCTTACTGTCACGGGGATGTCGAAGAGCTCATGAAAGAACAAAGAGGAAGAAGTGGCCTCTCTGGACTCTGAGATATTAAAGCCTACTCACCTGTTTCCTGTCCTTTTGTGCAGAAGGAAGCAAGGCCCTCGAACGATCTGCAATTTTCTGTCAGAGAAAAGAAAAAAAATTACATTAATATGCAAATAGTGCCAGACATGTGACAGCAGCTGAGCTATTGTAACACAATACATGGGAACTATTGTAACACAAAATGTATTTGATTACAAACAATCTAAAGTAAAGACACTTATTCAGCACGCTCAAAAGAGTTATCTCTCTCCCTGGGGAAAAGAAAGCAATTGTTTAACTTTATGAGAGGATATATACATATAAAACCTATTTTTGGGTATGTTTTTTTTTTTTTTTTTGTCTAAAATTATAATGCCGTTAAATGCTAAATAATATTTCACAGACTGTCACTGGAAGCTAAAAGGTAAAAAGTATCTAGCTAGATGCCATTGAAATAATTGTGTGACTACTAATTTAAAATATGTAATGAACATCTAGTTTGTATTTTACTTGTCGGTAAATAAATATATTTTAGTAAAAAAAAAAAAAACTTAAATGTCACATTTAATATGATATTATGATCTGTTAATGACATATTTGGCACATATAATGTTTCTAAAATGATGGAAATAGTAAAAAAAAAAAAAAATGATACAAATATTCCCCAAAGCTCTCACAGTCTTAGGGTATGTTTACACAGAAACGATCTGAACAGAAAACGCTAAAGTGGCATTGCGTCATCAATTTTAAATTTGCGTTTAGACGTGCGTTATGAGTGGGAAATCTGCGTGCATATGGTGACGCAAAAGTGAAATTCGATGTAGTACGCACTCCAGGCGGCTAGGTGGCGATGTAAAGCACTGCCACACAACAACACCAAGTCCGTGCGCCTGTGTACAGCCTTCACTGTCAAACAGACTTTTGCGTTTTTACCCTTTAGACGGGAAAGCGACCGTGGAGTGTTTTTAAGATTTCCACTCTGGAGGGTGGTTTCACTTTTGTTGTGTTTTTAAGCCCCAAAAACTCTGTCACCGTGTATACGAAAGGCACATCCAATATAATATTTTTAAGTTTTCACTCGCGAGCGTTCTCGTGTAAACAGGGCCTTAATCGCATGTGTTATTTGTGAACAAATAAATGAAGACCAATATTTCATGTGTACCTTCTGCAGGTCTCCATATCGCTGTACAGAATCCGATAGCTCTGTTTTGAGTCTCGTCAGACGAAGCCTGTCTTGCTGTAGGAAAACAAAATGGCATACATTTTTTAAAAGGACACTTAATAACTTTCATTAAACACTTTTATAACATTTTTTTTTCGTTGCACATGACAGTGGAATGTCTCTCTACCATGTTCAGATGAAACCTAAATCACTGGATATACATTATAAAAGGAATATTGTTCCAGTAACGAAAGATACATTAGAGATTTATAAAAGTCAAAGAAGCATGACTTTTACCCGTGAAGATCCGCTGATGATGTCAGTGAGTTGTTTAACAAGCTGGCTTGTGCTCGTTATGACTTTATTGGTTTGCTGCTGTGTGGAATGTCTGAAAGAAAGGGAGAAGGGGATAGGGATAGAGAGACAGAGAGAGAGAGAGAGAGAGAGAGAGAGAGAGAGAGAGAGGTGAAGAGACAGGTAATCATGCTTTACAAACCGCAGAAGACGATTCAAAATGATTCATCAACTATCCCAAGGTGCAATGCTCTCCAGGCTGGGCTAGTTTTACAGCCCTATTGGACGGATAAGCCTCAAACAATTAAGTAAATCAATATTAATGACTGTGTGACAGCGGAACAACATTGTGAGGGACTGTGTGTCATGACTGCAGAGCTCAGATGATGTCAGGGAGGCTTTAGGCTCCAGAAAGAAGTCAATCTGCCGCGCCGGAGGAGAATCAAAGGATTAGACGTTGTTTACAGAGACAGCAAATCAAACGGAGGAAAGGTATACAGCACAATGAGAGGTTTTCTGTACTGAATGCATTAACAGAGCAGATGGAAATCAAGACTGCATAAATTGGGTTTATAGAGGGCAATATTTAAAAATTTATGACTGCACAAAAGGAAAGAAAAGGAAAAGACTGGACCAATGCACAGGCATGTCTAACATTTGCCCAGAGCTCCAGACCAACAGGGGGCCCTGAAGGGTTAAAGAAACAGTTCATATTTACTGGACTTCATGGTTGTGAGACATTCAGAATTTAATTTGGAATGACTTTAGGTGTCTCAGTCAGCAGGGATCAGGGATTCAGCCATTTTAAAAGCAGTTTCAATTGCAAAATCCATCCAGTGCACTGAAACGTTGCAATGCAAAATGTACGTAAGTGATATCCAGGGAGCATTGATGATCACTATGTTTCCTTATTGTAAGTTCTAAAGTATGAAACCTAAATCACACAAGCCAACTCACTACACCTAATGACAAGCATTATATATATATATATATATATATTAAATACAACCATTATTGAATTATGTCAGCATACACATACATTGCTACACAGGTAATGAACATAAGCTAACTAACATTTTTGCTTACGGCTGAAAGGTTGTTGGTCCTTACTGTCCTTACCAGTGCCCGAATTTGTGTACACAATGTACTGGTTGACGACCTAGTAAGCTAGGGCATTGAATGAGACGCACCCTTTGTCTCAATTCCAAACATTGAATTGAATTTGAATTGACATAGCAAACAGGATTCAGAAATGCAATTAAAATTAGAACAGAAATATAATTAAAATAAACTGAAAATTCTAAAAAAAAAGTAAAAAAAAAGATATATTACTGTAATTCTTAACTAGACAAGTAAAATGTCTGAGTTTTTGGCTGACAAAGACTTCTTTGAAACTTTTCAAGTTTAAAAAGCCTTGAGGTTTTAAGGTTTATAGGCTAGACAGACAGACAGACTTCCCAGAATGCATTACCCCTGCTGAATTTCTTTGAGTTGACAAAGCAGTCAGGAGAGTTAGTAGATAAACGTTGGAGGATTTGAACTTGAAAAACGGTGTGTACTTATGTCTTTCCACGGCTAAAGCAACATTACTTCTTAGGTTCATTCATGTTTCACTGTGTGAGAACATGGTGTATGGTGTGAGAGTTGCGTAGCTTGTCGGACATAGCAACAGTAACTAATGGGGGCCGGTCTTCGTGAAGGGTCAGTTGGTTCCTCTTTTTGTCATTACATTCCAAAATCAAATTATACTTCCTGTGGAAGTTCAATGTGGCCAGTTCAGTTCATATTCACATTCATGAATTAAAGGGGAGACAATTCTTCAGTTCTTCACCGCTACACTTTTGTATGTTTAAAACATATTATTGTTTTATGCCAAATAACAGAGCAACAGCAAGTTTTTAAGATTTCGCGAGTTAAAAACATTCGATTTGATGCACATTGAATCACTGTCCATTTTAAAGCATTGACCAATCAAAGCAATCAGGGGGTGGGGTTTTCACTGTATAGGAGTTCATGCGCCCATAAACACACCTTCGGTTAACTTTCTGTTATGCTCCGTCTAACCATTTTTAATGCTAGAATGCATCCTCTGTGAAGGGCCCCTGAGACATTCATGTCCTCAACGTAATAATCCATCTCTGGAATTGAGGTGAAAAAGGAGGAAGTGTGGCCCGAAAGAGACTGGATAGCAGGCAACAGTGAGAGTATTAAAGACATTGAAAACTTGAGCCTGGCTATACGTTATTTCCACTTCTGAGCTAGATGGAAGATAGAGGGGGGGAAAAGGGGCCAACGAGTCAGAAGCTCGTGAACAAATATAATCTCCTGATAGAAATTCCGTTTTCTCCTCATGCGGAGCGAGGGGTTTGGATAAGGCCATTGATTTAGTGTCTGTGCCCTGCTCTGCCTGATCCCTTCCTTTAAAACCCAAACCAAGACCACCGGCCAGAGCACCTCCTGCTCTCTAGAGATATGTGGCGGAAAACGCGGGCACACCTCCCACTCAAATATTGATTTAAAAAGCAAGGAAGGAAACGAGGAGAAAGGCGTCTGGCAGAAACATCTCCTGTGCATTCGTTATAGGTTGGGGCATGTCACTGTCGTTCTCAGTCCACGAGAGAGAAACGAGACCAGTCGAGCGGAAAAGCACCTGTAACAAAAGAGGCAGCAGCAGTCGTGCTGTGTGAACAAAAAAGGCAGAGGTCCACAGTGAACGTTCTAATCACACGCCAGAGAATAGGGGGACGTGGCTGAACAGTTCAACCATAAAGCTTGACTTTGGGTACTTTTTTTTTACATGATCAGTCCTTTTGAAGGCTGAAGATGAGCAATGATTCACTACTCTACAGTTCTGAAAACATGGACACAATATAACCGGCTTATTTTAGAGCATAGGATTTTCTGTTTGAAAAAAATGCCCAGACGTGTACGGTGTACTACAACGATGACTGAAATCTAAAAACGTTTATTTTTCTCCATCAATAATTTTAATCTGAGAACCCATGGCATTGCTAAATAGGTTGGTGTTGGGTTTTATGACACATTTGATAGTGCCTTGTTGGATGTATCAGTGGGTCATTCCTATGCGTGGTGAAGTAATAATTGATAAATCTCCAGCTGACAGGTCATCACCAAGCGTGCCGCACAAGCCCTCAAAAATGAAGCCAAAACGCCTTGATCACCCCCCTGTGATCGGTCCTAGTATAGCTCATAACCCCCGCCTCCCCCATGTTATCCAATGGGACGTGAGACCAACTAAACAATTAAATTACACTTCACATATCCTTTTTCCAAAGATAGTTTCTGTCATTTACTGTAGTTTCTATCACGTTGATGTAATTTCAAGTGTTCGTTTTTAAAATAAGTTTGTTTTTAGTTAAAAACGGCGCTCTGACATCATGGTTGGCAGCTGTGATTGACAGGTTCTCAGTGTGAGGTAGTCACTGAAGCACCAGCGGACTTTTTTTAATAATGTTGATTATGTGGTAAGTAGTTGTGTTGACCTTATTTTAACGAGGTTCTGCAATCAGCAGACATCATTGGAGAAGAACGAAGCAGACAGAAGCCACTTAATGAAAGTACGGGGTGTGTGCTTGCGTTTGATTCAGCGAGAGTGAGGGCGCAGCCTTGATTTTGCGGCTTTACTTCCTGCTCACGACTGCGCATGTCTGGTCCCGAAAAGGGCAAGTGTGCAGACTCAAGTTCCAAGATGTCAGCGTCATATCGAGACACTGGCGGCTTCAGTTCTCTCTGATGGAAAAGAGCGAAGGGGCGTCGTCCATCTTTCTTTACAGTCTATGGTCATCTCTCGGCACAGTTTGAATATTAAAAGAATAGTTCACTCAAAAATGAAAATGGACTCTCCTGTGTTTAAACCACTTTCGGTTAACTTCCCACCAGAGCAATAAAACAATAAAAATGTAGCAGCTATAAATTGTTTTATAGCTAAACAATAATGCCTTGGTTTAGTCACCACAGTACAAATAAAGCCCTTTGAAATGTCCATGACTCAACCTCATTATATTGCACACTGTGATCCACTGAACACCTTCTATACGCCCTCAATTACAGCTTCCTGTGTTTCCCCAATGGTTTGTGAAACGCAATATGGCCTACACAATCTCAAGGGTAGACACGCAGCAGTGGAAAAGTTCTGTTATTACTCATCCCACATATTCAAACCCAGTAGTTTATTTTCCCAAACATTGTTTAGTCATGGTCTGATTTTAGCATGTTTCGTGTCCGTCGAGTTGGCAGAGTAGAATATGAATCTTCCTCTGCTTTGACTGGCTATGGCCATCTTCAATCTGAATCCCTGTAGGGCTGAACACATAGACTGAGTCACTTCTACAGCTCAGGTGATTTGTTACTTGCTAAATGAAGCTTATCGACTAAATCAATGAAAAGATGCAACAGTCGAAGTCCAAGGTCAAATAGACGCAGAATCAGTCAAACATTTGAATAATGGTAAAGAAATAGAAGCCAATAGAAGAAATTTTCAGATGTCCACTTCTGGCAAAGTTCACACACACGTTTGTGTTTGAGCTTAGGAGATAAATGTCTGTTGGGGCAAGTTGTCAAATGTGTGTTCTAGTAACACTATTTCAATAGTCCTTTTTAGACATTCTACTAAGCAACGGTGCAACTACATGTCAACTAATTCTAATTGGTAGGCTGTCTGCCTAATATTTGCTATTAATTTATTTTGATGGTCCCCCAACAGACATTCTACTGACTATTACCCCTTTTCCACCAAAAAAAGAACTGGTTCGGAACTGGTGCTGGTTCAAAGTTGGTTCGGAGTTGGTTCAACTTGCGAACCGCTTCAGAACCTATTTGTTTTTCCACTGACTAGATCGACGTCGTTACGTCACTGTGTACGTCGCCATACGTCTTAGCTAGAAACGCGTGCAAATACAACATTACTTTAGGATTATCTCTAACTTGTATACCAAGAAAGCTTTAAAAACAATTGAAATATGTAAGTCTTTTAATCTTTTCGTTTGATATGTAATTTTTTCTGATAAGTTATGTACCCCTGTAATTGTGTCTTTTTTTCTTTCCATTTATTTGTTCTACGTATATTGTGACTTT